TGACGGAGTTTCTTGAGGCGCTCCCAAAGTCAAAACATAGGGGTACCTTGTATCTCCTCCTACCATACATAATGGACCATAGCCTTAACCTCTGGGTTATCCGGCCAATGAGCATCAAACCGGAAAAGAGGCCGACTACTCCGAGTATAAGGTTTATCGGCGAGAAGGAGGGCACGATGATCCGACCCCTGGTCCGTAAAATGTTTTACCAAAGTCTCAGGATAAGTATCTATCCAGGATTGTGAACAAAGAGCCCTATCCAGACGTTCACGAATGCACGCCGCCCCCATGCGCTTATTGGTCCAAGTAAACTGATCCCCTTGGTAGCCTGGGTCATGGAGCCCCAAATCATGAACAAAATCTCGAAGGCTAATGGCTTGCGCCGCATTCCGAGCCCGAACCCCATCTTTTTCTCCCTCATGGAGGGTAGTGTTAAAATCACCAATGATCACAAATGGGTGATGAATAATCGAACAAACATCTCGCAGATGAGCCAATTGGTTGGCTCGAACAGCAACATTACAACTAATGTAGACAAAAAAACACCAAATAAGAAAAATCTCCTTCGTTAATTTGCGAACAAATGTAGAAATTGGAAGAACAAAACAGCGAAGTGTTAACTCCGGGGGCCCAAGCGACTACTAACCCACCCGATGCATCGAATGCATCAACAAAACAACAATGAGAACTATCAAAACCTAAACCCCGCATACGACGGGACACTACACGCCGACTCGATCGTGTTTCAGAGAAAAACACTACATCCGGTTTATTAGAATGAACAAGCCCTAAAGCAGTTTGGAAGGTGAGGGATGGCCCAATTCCTCTCACATTCCAGGCCAGAAGCCTCATTTATCGGCTGGGGGCCACTCGAGGCTGGCTTCCTCCACCTTTTCCAGAGCATCCGTTGATTCCACAAATTGCTTCTTCGGAGTAGGAGGGTCTCCCACATCCCCCTCCACCTCCTAGATCACACGTTTACGATTCTCCATGATTGGGTCCACCAGATTAGACCCATACTCATTCAGTCCCAAGCTCACCCCCTTCCGGGGAATATTCTCCACCTGTCCAATGCTAAGCCCTGCTTCAAAAGCCTCCACCACTTGGTGAACACGTCCTTTCATGACTTGGGAGGTCTTCATAGAGGAACCAGTAGGTGATCGGTGCTTGATTTCAAAAGAATGAGACTCCTCCAGCGATGGATCTTCATCAGAATTAGATCCCTGTTGGTGATTCACCGATTTGGGGTCCTCAAGAGTAGCCCCAAACTCCTTGTCCTCTAGATCCTGCATAGCACCAGGTGGAGTAGCGTCCTCAACCTGGTTGGACATAGTCAGTGGGAAGCTAGCTCCTCCTTTTCTCACCATGGGCGAACCCGAGGTGTCGAGCCCCCTGGCTGGGCCACGGTCATTTGAGCATCCTTCTTCATTTTAGGCGCAGGGACCGCATTCTCCTCCTCCTCAGATTCCTCCTGCAAAAACAGTCTACTCCTTCTGAATTGCTCGAGAACCATCGCCACAGAATCAACCTCCTTCTGAGGACGAGGAGCCTGCTTCATGCGCCTATTCGGCTGCTGGCGGCTCTTAGTTTCCTGCTGAGGAAGAGTGGTATTCTTCCTACCCGTATGACTTGGCATAATAGTTAGTGGGAAATCGACACCTGTCCATTGAGTTGAACGCTTAATTACATTAACTCAAGATGTAATGTCAGAAAGAGCGAGAAACTTCGATCTTCCCTGCGAACGTGACCCAATACTTCAGACAACAAACATTACCATTCCGCAAATTCAGACATCTTTCAATTAACAATTGTTGTATCTAGAGATGTCTGAAAAACGGTACTCATGATGTCATGGAGGGTTTCTGCTCCTCCTTAGCCCAATGCCACTCTGCATTCCAATCAAACCCTGAAGTTTCTAGTTTCAGGAAATTTATAATGAGGGAAGCTATGTGAGATCCATAAGATCAAAATATATGCAAACCGTTGTAAAATTGATTAGATGGACTCTGCTTTTTAATTTCACATCCAATAAGAATTTGGTCCGACATAGAGACACCAAGTCAGTCAACATTTCCAATCGGAATCAATCTATCATATAGAATACTAATATGAATGTTTTTTTTTTGTGTAGGCACCTTCCCGTAAAAATAGTCTACTTGTGGTGAAACACTACCGATTGTCACCAGGTACATATAGTATGGTGAAGATACGGGGACGAATTCCAAAAATACACATGTTTTTAAAAAAATTTGCCAAAATACACACGTTATAATTTTTTTCCCCAAAATACACATGTTTGGGCATCACCTCTGTTGTCAACCGCAGTGAATGCATTCACCGCGTCAGACCAAAGCAGTGAATGCATCACCGCGATTGACGGCCGCGGCGAATGCCCGACTTAACTCTGAAACTTCAAACAAACGTAACTTTGCACTCGGTTGCGGGTCAAGCATGACATCATCCCAGGGGGTAGACCTGGCAATCAGGTCGGGTTGGGTAATTTCGGGTTGGGAACTTTGGTTGTGGGTCGGGTCATGTTTGGTTGGCTTATTTCGAGTTAAATATTGACCCAACCCATTCGGTTTCGGGTCGGGTTACAGGTCATTTTGGGTTATGAGCGTTCTCAGAAACAATATAAAACATGCTTCATATTTTCTTAAAGAACACAAATTTTCACATATGCATGACAATAGTTTACCTAACACATGTCACTTAACATATTCTCAAAGCCTCCCATGCTAATGAATTGAAATATAAATTGCGCAAATCGTTAAAAAACAATCACAAGAGTAATTCTACTACAAATAACACATGATATCTCATTATCGTTAAACTCCAACATATCATTCAAATCCCTGTGATTTTTTTTTTTAAACATCTCACCAATTTATGAGTGATTTTATCATATTTTGGGAGTAATATATTAACTGGAATGGGTCTAACGGGTCAACCCGCTAACCCACCCAACCCGCCCCAAAAAATCACGGGTTATCTGGTTTGGGTCATTTGGATTTCGGGTTAATAAAATTTCTAGTTTTCGGGCGGTTTCGGGTCGGGTCAACGGGTCAGGTTGTAATTTTCCAGGTCTACCGGGGGGGTCAAGCATGATGTCATGCAAAGGGGTCATCGCGAGTACCGCTAGACATGATGGGAAAGAAGACGAAAATTGGCTAAGTGTTGAGACCCATAGCACAAGGGGGGTCAAGCATGACATCGTCCAAGGGGGCATAATCCATGTCATAGTGTCCAAGGGGGGTCAAGCATGTCATTGAGTCGAGTATGACGGGACGCAAGGGGGTCTAGCCGCCTACCGGGTATCAAGCATGTGGCAAGGGGAGAAGGGGAACGCAAGTCCCTAAACCGTGGCGGCAAAGAAAGGAAAAATTTGGCTAAGTGTTGAGACCCATAGTACAAGGGGGGTCAAACATGACCTCATCCCAGGGGGGTCAAGCATGATGTCATGCAAGGGGGGTCAAGCACTATGCCGTCTACCTACCTTGGGCTAGGGTGTCAAGCATGATGTCGTGCAAGGAGAGCTATCACGAGTACCCCAAAAGAAGGTGAAAATTGGCTAAGTATGGAGATCCAACCACAAGGGGGGTCGAGCATGACATCATCCAAGGGGGGTCATGCATGATACCGTCCAAGGAGGTCAAGCACCGGATACCAAAACTAGGGTGTCGAGCATGAGGCTGTGCAAGGAGAGTAGGTGTCGGCATTACTTTGACACTCACCTCTCAAGTACCCAAGCCGAGCAGACGTGCTAGGTCTCGTGCAAGGGCATCAAATTTCTAAGTGGTCAGCCATGTATATCATCACGTGGTAGATCAGTTTGTCAAGACACTAGAAGCATGAGTTGCAAGCCTTTTCTCTTCCCCCTGTGGACAAAAGAGTAGGCCAAGTAATTCAAAGAATGCCCCTATGTAGTGATGGCAATTTCAACCCGCCCCGCGGGTATTACCTGACCTGACCCGCGATGGGGCGGGTATTACCCGACCCGCAGTAGTGTGGGGCGAGGCATGGGTATCTATTTCCGACCCGCCCTACCCCGCCCCGCCCCGTTCTAGACTCATTTTATCTCAATTTCTTACAATATCTATACATATTTCTCCTATTTTGACTTTTCTTCAACTAGTTAGAGTCGATCTTTCAACTTGTTAGACTCAATTATCCATTCTATTATCAATATTTTTCATTCTTAAAGTGCTTTTCCCTACGTTTTATTGTAATAAGTAAAATTTACTTGTATTTTTTTTTTGAACATGTAAGAGTGGGTCGACCCGTCCCGCCCCGTACCCGCGCGGGTTTTACCCTCCCCGACCCGTAGTAGCGTGAGGCGGGGCATGGAAATTGAGGTACCCGCCCCGCCCCATTGCCATCACTACCCCTCTGCTTCTACGTCTTCCCACCACAAACCTCAAAGCCCGGCCACGCTAGTACTGCTTCCTTTATATTTTGTTTGGGCCAGGCTAGTGATTTGAGACCGATTGTTTGCCTGTGCAATTTTTTCTTTTTCGTGCTTTCTGTACCTGAATACATCAAACTCATGGAACTAGGCAGTAATGGTTTTTCAGCCATTCCTGGATTAGCGAGCCCTAAAATAGCACCAATCGGCTTAAACATATCATGGGATAGTCACATAAAGTTCAAGAATCCGATATATTAAAATCGATTATCATTGTACTGGAAGGAATTCAATTGAAATCCCCAAACAATTTCCCACTTTACCTACCAAACCAAACTGCTGGGTATTTTTTTCCTTTCTTTGCGTGTGGTGGTGGTGGTGTTGTGTGGCGGTCGCATAAGTAAGCCAGCAGCACCACCTTCTTGCGTTTGGTCTAAAACCTTCACCTGCCATTTCCAAAGGGCTAGTGGGAAGCAGGATGGGCCTTTAGGAACAGTAACTTTAACTTATCACACATTTGGCCAAACTGGCACCTCATTCTGGTCCATATCTCTATAGATCTCTCTTGTTTGGCCAAAGGTCAGTTGGGTTTGTGGCAAAACTGCAAATTTTATGGAATCCTGCCTCCTAGTTCAACCTAATACCAAATCCTATTAGGGATGCACCAACAAACCCCCACCTGCCCAATACCCCTCATACCAAATCTCATTTTGACTAGTTGATCACAGGTATAAACGATTCCAAGTTATATTGATTGTTACAATATAGTTTAGTTTTACTCGAATTTTTATTATATATGAACTAATTGTACAATTTTATGAGCTTCGAGATTGTCGCGACTTTCATATATATGACTAAATGGAAAGGAAAGAAGAATGGGAGTCAAAAGAGAGTGATTTTTTTTCCTCAAGCTTGTGAAACTAATCTAGAAACAGGGGGGAGTAACAATAGCACATCTTCACCTTCTTGCCTCTTCTCCCTCCTCTCAATCTCACACTGCAAATTACAACTAACTACCAAACTACCAAACTCCCCATATTTACACCTTTCCATACTAAACCCCTCGTCATTTCTATTAATTACATCATAATAATCATTCTTACTTCCTGTTGACGTCAACAAATCCCCTTCACCACAGCCACAACAATCCCTTCCATCTTCCCCTGCTACACTGCAATTGCAATCATCTCCCCGAACTGTGATCCAACGGTAAAGATCATCGCCACCATCACAAAATTCCCAGCTGGGTCCCGCCGTCGCCAGCCTTCCGATCCTCTCTCTGGCTTCCTCCTCTACTTCTATTCCCGACGGTGACGAGGAAGAGGAACAAGGCGACTCAGTGGCTTCGTCAGAATCAACAATCCCCACCGAATTCCAGAACCCTTTATCCAGAATGCTCGTAGGAGAATCAAAACAAGGCTTTCCGGTGGGAAGATCACCGGCCAATTCGAATTCTACCAGGAACGGATGCTTCAACAGCTGACTCGCTGTCCACCTCTGTTTCGGATCCCTCCTCAAACACTTGTCCAAGAAATCCTTTGCTTGCTCCGACAACCAACCCGGGAAATCTGGAACCCGGCCAGAGTAACCCACCCGGTAAATTGCAGAAACGGGATCGTCGTGATCACTCTCCGGCCACGGCGACCCGCCGCCGGTAGCCATTTCGATGACCGCGCACCCCAATCCCCAAACGTCGCCGGCGAACCCCTGTTCCTCCCCGCGCGCCGTTTCCGGCGCCATGAACATTGGCGTCCCGCCAGTTGTACCCGACGACCCGACCCGCTTGGCGCACCCGAAATCCGCCAGCTTGGCCGCCGACCCATCGACTCCGACCAAAATGTTCCGACATTTCACATCGCAATGCGCCAACCCGTTGGAATGCAGATACTCAAGCGCCTTCACAACCTGCCACGCGTACAACCCAATCGCCGATTCTTCCATCCGGCCTCCGCCACGGCAGCGGCGTCGAATCTCATCGATAATTGTACCGCCGGGCATGTACTCGAGCTTCAAATTGTACACAACTCTGTCGTCCTCCGTCGTAATTTCCCATCCCCTGTATCCAATTACATAAGGAGAGCTGACTGAAGACAGAATCCTCTGTTCTCGTTGTAGGAACTCCGATTGGGAAGCCCCTGCTGACTTGACAGCGTACCGCTCGCCGGAGCGGTGGTCGGTTGCTAGATAGACGGTGGCGGTGGCGCCGTGGCCAAGTTCGTGACCTCTGCTCCAGCTCATTTCTTTTGGGTTTTCAGAGAGAAAAGAAAGGAAATGGAAAGGAAGAATGAATGAATGAGTGAAAGTTTCAATCTTTTTTGGGAGAGAGTTTGTTACGAAAGTGATGAGCCGTTATACTCTGTATTTATAAGGCCGCCATCTCAAGTAAGAAGAAAAGGGAAAATGGAGAACAGGAGAAGTTAGTTTGATTGGTTAGTTGGGTTTTTTGTTTGTACTCTTCATTGTATTGGATCACTATTCATGCATCCTTCCCTTTTGCTTGCTTGCTATTATGATTTATGAGAGAAGGAATAAAGGGAAGAAGAAATGAGTTTGACAACTGGTTTAGAAGGATCGAAGTGAAAGAACGTGGCCAAATATTGGTGGGAGGTGGATGGCTTGGAGCAGCTGATACGGCAAATGGTGACATGGCGAAATGGGTATGGCGACAAGTGTCATATGGGTAGAAATTGTGTTTGGTTGAGGAGACTGTACGGGTGTGCAAAATATATTTAGTTCTGTTTTTGGAGATTGATGGATAAGGTTAAGGGGGCTTTTTTTTTTTGCAAGGGGAATAGTGAAAATTGACCCTATTTGGATGTATTGTGGGGTTTTGGAATTTGTGTGAGCAAAAAGTGGACTTTTGAAAATTAATTTGGTGGGTTGAAGAGTAGGGGAAGTTTTGGTAGATAGTGAGATGTATTCTTTGTAAGATACTATTAGCCAATAAGCATATTATGATGAGGTTCTTGGTCAAGATATTTTTCAGATGAATGATGTTACAGGATGTATCCACCTTACTTAAGATTTTAAGCAAAGTACTATTTAAATTTGAATAAGTTTGATATATTTTGCACACTGACATCTAATAATGGGAATAAGTTTGATATATTTTAAGATGGTAAATAACCAGATGTCGTCTAAAAATATTTTTTTTTCAATTGCGTATATTCATCTTGTTAATTTCACTATATTGATTGATTAGCAAACAATTTAGTTGAGATTGGGTGTACAAACTGGATTCACCTTTTGGTAGGGGCAAGGGAGAGGGTGAGTGGGTTTGAAGTTGAACCACACCACAAGAGGGGATGAATTTGGTATTTTTCTTTTCAGGGAGTAATTTGATTTGGTGAATGTCAAATTTGAAGTCTTGTAAATGAGGAAAACATACTAATTATTCATGAATGGAAAATTGGATGTTTTTGTCAAAGTCAAATGAAAATTTTCATATGGAAAATACTAATTAATATATATGCACTTACATCCACTCTTTCTTCCGCACATAATAGTTTAATTATTAATTACATCATGTATGAGGTGATCTCATTCTTCAATGATTTTTTACTGTTTAAGAAAATTGAGTATATGTTAATCTAAATATCAAAGGTTGATATTTCACTCTTTTTTTTTTTTGACTATCTTGTCTATTATACGGATAACGAATTGACGGAGGATTACCAATACACGCCGATGTTTTTCTCATGCGTAGGTCTAGATAAGTTCGATAGTAGGAAGTTAAAATTTCACTTGTGAATAGATAGGAAATATTTTAATATGTTGTTTGATACATAAGAGATACATTTTAATTTATCACATGGAACTCAACTTAGCTATTTCCAATCTGAATATCATGTATTTGGTTGTTGTATTATTGTATATGGTGGTTCTACAACCGGTTTGATTAATACTTAAAATGGAACATCCTTTGTTAGAATTTCAAGAATTTTCTTCTTTTTATACCTTAACGTTATATATTAAACCATTAAATTGGACTACCCCATTATAGTCTAATAGGGTGGGTCAAATTTTATTAATCAAAGAAAACAAGTGATTACTAATTAGCACCTTTTGCATTTCAAGTTTTCTTTCTTTTTGTAATATCAAATTTTTTGTTGAGGATTAGGTCTCTTTTCCCGTTGAAGCAACTGCAATGGATGCTGAAATTACAGGGGATCCTAGAAATTCATCAAGCAAAATAATTAGTCACACATCATGATCATAACCACCGGTTCTCTTCTAGAAACCCATGACCAAAATCTGTGTCTTTACGACCACCCATTTTGCTGATGCCATTAAGTATATACAGTGTCTTTACGAGCAAGGTAAACAAAATACGAGCGTTTTAGTTTATTTTTCTTGTTGTCGCACGCAGTTATAAGAAACAAAATGGCAAGTAAATGGTCCATAAGGTGGCCTTGCATATTTGTGATTTGGAAAATCATAATTGAATTTGTATCGAACACATAAATTTCTTATACATATCTATTGCATTACTTATAAATTTGAAATACATATAAATAATTTGAAATTTCTTATAACAACAAATATTACTTACACTAACTTTTGATTTGAAATATTGCTGGAAACATTTTAAATTTATAATTTGAAATACTTACACTAACTTATTCGATACAAACTTTCGGAACAATTTTATAATGTTTCTTATTTACTTGCAACTGAGAAGACAACACTAATAAGGATTGCCTGGAAAACATGCACCACTAATGTAATGTGTATTTTTGGGAAAACTCACAATCACTTTATTCAATGATTTCTATCCCCCAAGCAAAGCAATCATCATAATGCATGCACTTTGGAGCTCAATAGCCATTTATACTACTGAAAGATACCCAAAAAAGAAACTTTTACTTGCATTATATGCCATATGATGTAAGGCAAAAAGGGCAAATAGAGAACAATACGTCTTGCATTATATGAAGAAACTTTTACTTGCATTATATACCCAACTTTGCTTGCAATGGAATTGAAAAGATTAGAAAAGGAACTCCTGATGATCAAAGATTATTGCAGCCCATTCATTCTCCTGTCATTGCTGGCTGCCTCATCCCCACTTTAGGTATTTGGCGACTTAAGAATATTGGCAGCAAAATTTGAATTTAGAGTGATGGGAGATAGAACTAAAAATTATAGTCTTTTGACGATTGAATTTGTCTTTTGAAAGAGTAATTTTTTTAGTTTATCATCGGACAGTAATTAAATTTTTTTTAACAACTTAAACTATGATTTTTATTGAATAAATAGGATCAGAAGCACACCAGGTCAGTCTATTATAGGGTTGTTTGTTGAAGTTTATAGTTAGAGTACCAACTTGTATATTTTACCTTTAGCTGGAGTGTCTGTGTAATTATCCATATCTCGTGTATATAGTCGGCCGAACCCCTATGTACTAGGTTAACGAACATTGATTGATAGTGCAGCTTTTGGAGAGTGTCGTCTCTCCCATGGATTAGACCTGCTCATTCAAGGATACCACGTTAAACCTCGGTGTCGTTCTTGTTTGGTTTGCTATTCTTTACATGGTATCAGAGCCTCTGCTTTTAAATGTTAGTGTGTTTCTTCCGCGGTTTGGATTGCGCAGCTCTTGTTCTCTTCGTTTTTGGTTCTGTGGGTGGAAGAGTTTGGGTTTGTTGGCTGCCTTGTCATTAGGGTTCTGTTAGAGGTTTGGTTGCTTTGAGTTAGCTGCGGTACTAGGACTCTTCGGCTGGGAGTCCTCCGTTCGTGTTTGCTTCCCGTACGTAGCTTCGTTTGGTGCATATGGATTCGGCTAAGATGGATTCCGTCTCAATCAAGTTTGACCGTAAGAATTTTGCAATATGGGAATTTCAATTTTGTAACTTCGTTGTCAGTAAGAGGCTCCTATCCGTTTTGAATGGGGAAACAAAGCGCCTAGATGCGGATGCTGCCGCACGGGATATGGAGGAGTGGAATGCAGGTAATGCCCAGCTGATTTATATTGGGGTCGGTAGATATGCCCACGCTTCACTACCGCCCATGAGATGTGGGAGCATATATCTTCCATACCTCTTCCCATGGGTTGGCTTTTGCAGTTGGACAACCCGCTGCGGCGTCTCGACCTCAGTTCTCGAAGCCGAATTCTGCTGAGCTTATTTGTCAATTCTGTCGTGAGCCTGGACACATCCAAATTCATTGTCGGAAGAAGAATTTTTGTGACTATTGTAAGCGCCCTGGTCACATTGTGCTCGAGTGTCCTACTTTGAGCAAGCGTGGCAAGCTTCGACCAGCCTCCTATGCGTCTTCTTATTCCACCACAACTGCTTATCCGGTTACCCTTGGCGCACCTGCTGGTGGCTCCTCAGTTGGCGGTAACTCCCTCTCACCTGATCAGATACGTCAGCTCGTCCAGGATGCACTTCAGGAGGCCTTGTCTTCCGCCTATGCCACTACTGATACTTCGGGTAAGTCAGCTCATTGACTCTTAGATTCGGCAGCTTTTAATCACATGACTCGTAATCGTACTCTATTTTCCCATTTACATCATGTGAATTTTATGCGGGTTCAAGTCGCCAAGGGAGCTGCTCTTCCTGTTGTTGGTTCCGGTACAGTTAAGACAGGCCCGATCACCCTGCCCGATGCTCTCTACGTTCCTCAACTAAGTCCTAACTTAGTTTCGGTGGGTCAACTAACTGATGCAGGCTGTAACGTCATGTTTGACTCTCGTGGTTGCATTGTGCAGGACCAGGAGTAGGGGAGGGTGATCGGAAGGGGGCGTAAAGAGAGTAGTTCATTTGATTGTGTATCTGATTGTCGACAGGTTACTCCTCTTCAAGGAAACAAGTCACCATATCAGATGTTGTATTCTCAAATTCCAGATTACTCATTCCTCCGGGTCTTTTGGTGTATATGCTATGTTTTTGCTGCCAAAGAAGGATCGTCATAAGTTGGCTTCGAAGGTGACGAAGTGTGTATTTTGTCGGGTATAGTGACAAACACAAAGGGTATCTATGTTATGATCCTAGTGCTCGGCGTATGCGTATCGGTTATCACGTTAAGTTTATTGAAAAGGAGATGTACTACTCATCATCTCACATCAAAGCTAGTTCCGTAGCTTCTTCGGAGTTTTTTACGTGTCTGCCTAATTTTGAGACTCGAGTTCTCAGCGCCGCCTAGCCCACTCTCTCGTCGTCAACGTCCTCTAGCTCCAGCTCAGACAATACTCTACCTATGCTGCATGCATTGACTACGTCCAGCAGCTCTAACTTTTTGTCCACTCCTGGATCGGGTATAAGTTTCGGGTCTTCATCCTCAAGTTCATCTTTAGCTCACTCGGACAGCTCTTCAGATGATGCCAAGGATCACGA